GGGCTTGAGAATTACAATAGGGTTTTGGGCGGTATTATGGTATAGTTATCTTAGTAGTAACCCCTAAACCTTGAAACCCTGAGCCCTAGAGCAAGCCAACTTTATCCCTAAACCGTACTTGTTTCAGAAATGCAGACATCTTGAGAAACACCTATCGTTCATCTAGGATGATGCTTCGAGGGGCTTTGGGTTTCGGGATTTGAGGCTTTCGGGCTTAGGGTTTTGGGTTAGGGTTTTGGATTTAGGGGTTTGGGTTGAGGGTTTAGGGTTTAGGATTTCAGGTTGGGGCATCTTCTTCATCAACACGTCAACACCTTAGATGGAGACACTGGTGTGCAGGGTGGTGATGACGTTGCCATGTTGTTGCTGATGGTGGTGCTGCGGCAAACTTAGCCGGTCTGGGTTACGTATGAACAGTGCACACACCAGAACGACGATGATGAAAAGGGTGTGGAGCATCATGATTTTCCATCGCTCTGCCGGACGCTAACCTGTTGAGCCAAATAGCTTGAATGGTGCCTCCTACTCATACCACCACCACAGTACTACTTCCTCGTTTCCTATTCCCCTACTGCTGCTAGTGAACAGAATCCGGCTCGTCCACCACGGAGAAAAAAACCCTAAACCCTAAACCCTCAACCCTAAACGTACCATCATCTCAATAGTTTAGTTTAGTACAGCTGTCAACGCACGCCCTTTCCGATCCTCGGGCGGGTTGTGGTTTGGAGGTTTTATGTGCATGGAGTTTGCTTCGTCCACAGGCGGTCCTTGCGCTCTTGGTACCGGGTTTAGGGTTTAGCGTTTTGGGTTGGTACCTTTCCCTGCCCCTTTGATCCATCATGATTCACCGCCACAACTGTTGTTCTCCTGCAGGTCGCGATAAAGCTCTTGAAAGAGGGCAATGGGCGCTTTGTGGGCGGCACTGCCGTGGCAAATCGGATCAGCCCGGAAGTGCGGAAGAATATGGACGCCCGGATTTACATGTTTTGTTTTTGTCCAATCCTGTTGTGCTCTGATGTATATAAGCCGTCGTCGAAGTAGTACTATTACTAAGGCTAGTGGCAGAAGAAGTAGTAGTAGTAGTAGTAGTAGTAGTAGTAGTAGTAGTTGTAGTGACAGCAGCAGCAGCAGTAGTGTCGAGTAGTAGCAGTACAAGTAGCAGTAGCCGTGGCCGTAGCCGTAGCCGTAGCCGTAGCCGTAGCAGCAGCAGCAGCAGCAGCAGCAGCAGCAGCAGCAGCAGCAGCAGCAGCAACCGTAGTGGTAGTGATGGTAGTGGTTGCAGTGGTGGTAGTGTTGGTAGTGGTAGTAGTGATGGTCAGTGGCAACAGTGGCAGCCGCAGCGGCAGTTTCACCAGCAGCAGCAGCAGCAGCATCGATAGGATGATGGCTAACCGCCCTCGTGTGCTCCGCTAGTTCTGTTTGCATCACTTTGGCTCACTGTTTCTCTTGGAGGTTTCAGAGATCAGGGCACAGCTTGCTTTCTTTGCGTGTGTGTGCGTGTGGGTGATCGTTGTCTTGTCTTACTGCTCATCTTTTGCGTTTGGGGTGTATCATACAGAAGACAGAATAGTTACCTATGTTATTCCTTGGGTTCCTTGGTATTGTATGCTATCATATAGCGAAGCCTAACCGTACAATAAGTTATTCAGGCCCCGCGTGAGTGTTTCCTACTTGCTGTGCGGCTTGTCCGGACTGCCCTCTCGACAGAACTTAGTTGCCCAATACCCAACCTTTAAACTTTTTGGGGTTTAGGGTTTAGGGTTTAGTAGTATCAACCTGAAAGTTTCACACTTTATTTCCCTGGCTTATTGGGGAAGTAAGACGATGTAAGTAGGAGCTTCATCTGTAAAGTCGCCGATTGCCTCGTAGACCCCCGTGCGCTAAATCATAAGTCAGCATCAGCGCAGCACCCAAAAGCTTACACTCTTCTGGATCCTTAACCCAAACCCTGCACCCTGTAAACCCTAAAGCCTAGTTCCGGCCTAAACGGAAAGCCCATCAACCTCAAAACCTCGACCGAAATCCCAAAGCCCGAAACCCTAAACCCTAAACCCCAAGAGTCCTAAGCCCTTACTTAGCCCTAAACCCCAAGAATCCTAAACCTTAAGCCCTAAACCCTAAATCCAAAACCCTAAGCCCTAAACCCCAAGAATCCTCAACCCTAAGCCCTAAACCCGAAGCCCAAAAGCCCTAAACCCAAGAGTCCTAAGCGCTTAGCCCTAAACCCGAAGCCCCAAA